GATGATCCAGGAGCGCGTGTTGCAGGGCCCTCTGGATGGCATGGAGTTCTGCCTGGAGGATTTTGCAGTGGTTCTGGAGTCGCGATCCGGCCGTCAGGGTGGCATGGTGTACCCCAGCACCTGTGCGGCCAGCCTCTGGATCCCTGGAGCCATCGGTGTAATATACGGCGCACCCAGGGTGCTCTGCTGCTGCAATACTCATTGCAGCCCATTGCTGCAGCACGTGTTGTGGACAGTGACGCTTGCTAACTGGGAGGTCTTGGATGTGGACCACAACTGCTTCTGGTGCCCAGGACGGGAGTACAGAGTACCCCGCCACAGGCCGGTCACAGCCCTTGTCCACGATAAGCGCCATGGGGAGGAGTTTGCTTGCTACATCTGCCGCTGATCACACCCACAGCCGGCCAGGAGACTCCTGAGGTCTCCCTGTTGCCGTTCAAGGAGGTGTTGCAGCAGTCCCTCTCCACCAGGGAGTTGTACGTACTTGGCCACCCTCCTGGCTGCCACAAGGGCGATCCTGTCACGTAAGGGCTGCAGTTGAGCCTCATGATTCAGAGGCACAGTGTTCGTCCACCTCAGCGTGCCCAACATGATCCGAGCTGCAGTATTTTGGACGACGTCGAGTCTTCGAAGGTGCGAGGGGCGGGCATGGACCAGGGTAAGTGCCCCATAGTCGATGAGAGAGCGCACCGCCTGCACGTAGAATAATCAGAGAATGTCACGGCTGGCCCCCCGACCTAGGGTTGGCAAGGGCCTGCATGGCCGTGACCCGTTCATTTTTTTTTTTTTTTTTTTTTTTGTTATACAGTGGACCCCCGGTTAATGATATTTTTTCATTCCAGAAGTAGTTCAGGTGCCAGTACTGACCGAATTTGTTCCCATAAGGAATATTGTGAAGTAGATTAGTCCATTTCAGACCCCAAACATACACATACAAACGCACTTACATAAATACACTTACATAATTGGTCACATTGGGAGGTGATCGTTAAGCGGGGGTCCACTGTATTTGAAAATATGTAAAAAAAAGTAGATCTACTTCTGTAGCAATACGAATTTGAACGTCGATCTGTTTGGACCGTTTAAGGGTTAAGGGTTAATATAGACAAATGCAAAGTTCTAAATGTTGGATAGGAAAATAGCCATGCCACATAAAAACTAAATAATATATATCTTAATACTACTGATTGCAAAAAGGATTTAGGAGTTCTGGTTAGCAGTAATCTAAAACCAGGACAACAGTGCATTAGTGTGCAATAATGCTAACAGAATCCTTGGTTTCATATCTAGTACAGTGGACCCCCGCATAGCGACTTTAATCCGTGCAAGAGGGCTGATTGTTATGCGAAATGGTCGGTATGCGAATGAATTTTCCCCATAAGAAATAATGGAAATCAAATTAATCCGTGCAAGACACCCAAAAGTATGAAAAAAAATTTTTTACCACATGAAATATACATTTTCCTACACACAAAGAGAAGGATACATGCACAATAGTAGAGTAGTACATGCACAATATACATTGTGCATGTACTACTCTACTAAATGAAGAATAAATGACACTTACCTTATTGAAGATGCAGCAATGACTGATGAGACACTGTGTCCTGGGAGTGCCTTTTCCTCCTGAGTACTGTAGGTCCTGTTTGGCATTTTCTTCCAGAACATGCCTTATCACACTGTGTATGCCACTACGATTCTTAAATCTCTCAAACCAACCTTTGCTGGCTTTAAATTCACCAATATGAGCACTAGTTCCAGGCATTTTTCCCTGTTCACCTGGGTGTTAGTCAACTGGCGTGGGTTGCATCCTGGGAGACAAGATTAAGGACCCCAATGGAAATAAGTTAGATGACACTGACTTTTTTGGGTTATCCTGGGTGGAAAATCCTCTGGGGTTAATTGTTTCTTGGTATTCTCAATAAGCCACACCAACAACGTGCTACAGCAGCAGCAGCAGCTGACAGTGCTACAGCAGCAGCAGACGATGCTACAGCAGCAGCAGACGGTGGTGCAGCAGCAGCAGCAGACGATGCTACAGCAGCAGCAGACGGTGGTACAGCAGCAGCAGCAGCAGACGATGCTACAGCAGCAGCAGACGATGCTACGGCAGCAGCAGCAGCTGACAGTGCAGCAGCAGCTGATGGTGGTACAGCAGCAGCAGCAGCGATGGTTGATTGGGGTTTATTATACAACCTGGCCAGCTTGGAGACACGCACTCCACTTTCATACTTATCAATGATCTTTTTCTTCATCTCTATAGTAATTCTCACCCTTATTGCTGTAGGGTTGGCACTAGAAGCTTTCTTGGGGCCCATGGTCACTTATTTTCCAGAAAAAATCACCAAAACCACTGTAATAATACGAAATGTTTCGATTGTATGCTTGGATGTTACCGCGGAGGCTGGCTGGTAAACAATGCCACCGGCGGAACATGTGAGGCTGGCTAAGGGCGCACATTGGACGCGTCTCGGACGAAGAGCGGTGAGCGGGTTTTTGGGCGGTATGCGAGGCAAAATTTTTGCGAAAAAAGCGAGCGGTATGCGGATTGTACGGTATGCGATGCGTACGGTATGCGGGGGTCCACTGTATATTAGAAGTCCTCAGGTTGTTCTTTAACTCTACATATCCTTGGTTAGGCTTCATTTAGATTATGCTGCACAGTTATGGTCACCATATTACAGAATGGATATAAATGCACTGGAAAACGTACAGAGGAGGATGGCAAAGTTGATCCCAGGTATCAGAAATCTTCCCTATGAGGATAGCCTGAGGGCCCTGAATCTACACTCTCTCGAAAGGCGTAGAATTAGGGGGGATACGATCGAGGTGTATAAATGGAAAACGGGGATAAATAAAGGGGATGTAAATAGCGTGCTGAAAATTTCCAGCCAAGACAGGACTTGCAGCAATGGTTTCAAGTTGGAAAAATTCAGATTTAGGAAGGATATAGGAAAGCACTGGTTTGGTAAGAGAGTTGTGGATGAGTTGAACAAACTCCTGAGTACAGTTATAAAGGCTAAAATGTTGTGTAGTTTTAAAAATAGGTTAGATAAATACATGAGTGGGTGTGAGTTGGACTTGTCTAGCTTGTGCTACTAGGTCTGATGCTGTGCTCCTTAAGTGGAAGTGACCTGACTAAGTGGGTCGTTGGGCTAAGCCGGAGGGTAATATGGACCTGCTTTGGATGGGTCAGTAGGCCTGCTGCAGCGTTCCTTCTTTCTTATGTTCTAACTTCTTCCTCCCTTAGTTTATACACTTTCACCTCTCTCTTACTTTGTGTTGCCATTTTCCTTTTGTCCCATCTACCTTTTACTCTAACTGCAGCCACAACTAAATAATGATCTGATAGATCAGTTGCCCCTCTATAAACATGTACATTCTGAAGCCTACACATCAACCTTCTATCCACCTATACATAATCTAACAAACTACTTTCATTACGTGCTATATCGTACCTTGTATACTTATTTATCCTCTTTTTTCATAAAATATGTATTACTTATTAGCAAACCTCTTTCTACACATAGCTCAGTTAAAGCCTTCCCATTTTCATTTACCCTTGGCAACCCAAATTTACCTACTACTCCCTCCACAACATTTCTACCCACTTTAGCATTGAAATCCCCAACCACAAGTACTCTCACACGTGGTTCAAAACTCCCCACTCACTCAACATTTCTCAAAATCTCTCTCTCTCTCTCTCTACACTTCTTTTCTCCAGGTGCATAAATGCTTATTGTAACCCACTTTTCACATCCAATCCTTATTTTACTCCATGTAATCCTTGAATTAATACATTTATATTCTCTCTTTTCCTGCCATAACTTATCCTTCAGCATTATTGCTACTCCTTCTTTAGCTCTAACTCTATTTGACACCCCTGATCTAATCCGATTTATTTCTCCCCAATGAAACTCTCCCACTCCCTTCAGCTTTGTTGCACTTAAAGCCAGGACATCCAGCTTCTTCTCATTCATAACATCCACAATCATCTCTTTCTTATCATCCACAAAACATCCATGCACATTCAAACATCCCACTTTGACTTTTTTTTTTTTTTTTTTTTTTTTTTTTTTTTTTTTTTTTTTTTTTTTTTAGTAGGCTATACAGGAAAAGGGGTTACTAGCCCATTGTTCCTGGTATTTTAGTTGACTTTTACAACACACATGGCTTACAGAGGAAAGATTCTTATTCCACTACCCAGCATATTCCCCAATAATTTTTTCAGACACTTTTGTACCCTTTTTCCTTTATACAAAGGAACTGTGCATGCTCTCTCCCAATCCCTTAGATACCTTACCCTCTTCCATTCATTTATTAAATAAAAACATTAACCACTTCAAAACTATATCCCTACCTAGTTTTAACATTTCTATCCTTATCCCATAAATCCCAGCTGGTTTACCCCCCTTTCATTCTACCCACTGCCCCATGCACTTTCCCCACACTCACAACTAGTTCTTCCTCACTCCTATACGATGTTATTCCTCCTTGCCCTATACACAAAATCACAGCTTCCCTATCTTCATCATGATTTAACAGTTCCTCAAAATATTCCCTCCATCTTCCCAATACCTCTAACTCTCCATTTAATAACTCCTATTTTTTAACTAACAAATCCATTCGTTCCCTAGGCTTTCTCAACTTATTAATCTCACTCTAAAACTTTTTATTATTTTCAGCATTAAAAAGTATTTTCACCATATTGCAAAGATAGTGATTGTGTGAATGGTGGTGAAAGTGTTTCTGTTTTGGGGTCACCCTGCATCACTGGGAGATGGCTGGCATGTTGAAAAAAAATATTTTTTTAGTGATAAAACTTTCTTCTTTAACAAACTGGCCATATCTCTCAGAAGCAGGGTGGCCCAAAAAGAAAAATGAACATTTCTCTTTTTAGTTTTAGTAATGTTAACAGGAGAATGGGTTACTAGCCCCTTGCTCTAGTGACAAAACATTAGCTTTAAAAAAATTTAAATTTTCCTGATAAATACTCATAGATGGAAAGTGATGTTCAACACTTGGGAGAGAAGCGCTGCAGTTTGGAATCCACAGTGGACTGTTTTGCTGGCAGAGCTTACCAAGCCATGGTTGATACACATGAAGCGGTACAGAACCACAGCAAGGATATGGAAAGACAGGCAACTGAAGATATCAAGAGCACCACAGAAAAACTAGAGGTGGGAGGGTATCTTGTACATTCTTGAGAAACAAAATGGTTATATACATACTGCTACTATCAGTAATGAAGTTATTAATAGAAGCTTTCTTAATAAATAGTAATACAAATATTGTCAGTGTATATTTTGAGAAAATTCTACACTTCTATATTCATGATTTGTGAGGTAGATTTTCCAATTTTTTTATATAAATACTTGCACTAAATTTTCTCATGCTTTTCTAGACGGCAGTAGTGGAATTGACACATGAAGTGGAGAATAAGAATAAAGCCTTAGAGGCTGAAATCCTTAGATTAGAAGCAGAATGTTCTCATCTTAGTGATGCATGTCAGAAGGCACAGATCAGTTTAGAAAAATGGTCTAATAAACATGATGAGGCACTTAGTACTCAAGGGGAACAAGTCTCGGAGCTGTTCTTTGAGAAGATGACGAAAGATGTACCAACAGGTGAGATGACCTACATTTATTATTACATTAATTTTTAATAATTACATTTAATTACTTGCATTTCCAATCATTTAAAGTAAGCCAATTGGTTTTAGCTATAATTTATGAAGGCTTGTTAAATTCTACCATTATTTTGTGATTGCATTAGCTCCTGCAAAGCATATCCATTGTTACATCTAAAAAGGCTATGTAACTACTACTAGTACAAGCAAGTTTAGTTGTAATAAATTCTTTTGATATGTCGATATCATAGTTGAAGAACTTTAGGTTTATTCTTCAAAAATTTTTACTGATGGCTTATATTTCTACCCTATCTGCTTTCTTCCTTCCATTTAACTTTTTTTTTTTTTCCATGCCTCCTCATGTTCTATTTTACTCTTATGTACAGTTTATATGTTAAATTTTATTTTTTAGGTCAAACTCCAGTAAGACAAGAGTATTCATTTTCAAAGCTTCTGTCTTCTACGTCTCCTCATGAAAGACTTCTGCAAAGATATCGAGCTGGAACTGTAACAACACTGTCAAGGATCCCCCTTCCAAGCTATACAGATGATACTGAGGTAGGTTTAAAATGTGTTTGTTAAACAAGTTAGGCAAAGAAAAATTGGATATCACATTGGAGGGAGGGAGGGAGTATGGAAGAAATGAATGTGTTCAGATATTTGGGAGTAGACTTGTCAGTAGATGAGTTTATGGAGGACTAGGTTAACCATAGAATTGATGAAGAAAAAAGGTGGAGGCAAAGAAGGAAATGTATGAGAGAATAGTGGTACCAACATGCTTAAATGTGTATAAAGCATGGGTTGTAAATGTTGCAGCAAGGAGGCAGCTGGAGGTAGTGGAGATACTGTGTTTAAGGGCATAGTGTTGTGTAAATATTATGCAGAGAATTTGTAGTGTGGAAATTAGGAGATGTGAAGTTAACTAAAAGTATCATTCAGAGAACTGAAAGGTTGTTAAGGTGGTTTGGTCATTTAGAGAGGATGGAGCAAAATAGGATGACCTGGAAGATGTATAAATCTAGAGGAGAGGTAGGGGCTTTTATAGGAAAGGATAGGAGAGGGTAAAAGAGGTTTTGTGTGCAAGAGGCTTGGACATGCAGCAGGCATGTGTGAACATGTTGGATTGGAGTGAATGGAGATGAATGGATTTTGGGACTTTAGCTGTTGGAGTACGAGTAGGGTAATATTTTAAGGGATTCAGGGAAAACGGTTAGCTGGACTTGGAGTCCTGGAGGTGGGAAGTACAATGCCTGCACTAAAGGGGACGTTTGGGATATTTGCTGTTTGGAGTGACATCTAAACTGTCATATCTGTGCACCTCTGCAAAGACAGTGATTGTGTGAATGATGGTTAAAATTTTTTTTATTTTTTTTTCACCCTGCCTTGGTGGGAGACAGCCAGTGTGCTTAAAAAAAAAAAGTAAAGAGGAAACTAGTCAAGTTTTTGCAGGAGGTGCCTGATCAGTTGGGCTTACCTGCCTATCTGGAGGGTGTTTAAGGGGTCAACACTCCCATGGCCCAGTCCATGACTAGGTATATGGAACTACAAGGGTAGTCTAGTGGCTGAGCTGCTGGAGCAGACGAAACTGGTCACAGATATAAGCAATATAAAATCTACTGTTTTTTTTTTTTTTTTAATAAAAATAAATGCTTAAAAATTGACGATATTCTGATCTTTGTCAGTATGGTTTTCAAACTCCTTTAGTACAAATAATCACCTAAGTACAACATAAATTATACAACATTCTTTATAAGAAAGAACTCCCAATTAGGCTTTTGACCTGCAAAAGGCCTTTGACATTGTAGAGCACACCTTTCTGCATAATATAAGGGCAAGATGAGCATAGCCACTCACACTAATATCCAATTTTACTTAAATGGTAGAAAGCAACAAAAGAGCTTGTTAAGTTCACTTCAGTAGTAGTCTTTGTCTTAAGTCATTTTAAACTTGATATTTCTTGTTCTTTTCCTTCTATTTATCTAATAGTACCACAAGCATTTTTGAACAGTGGAATCTTAAACTCGGTTAATTGTGTACCTGCTACTTCCTTTGTTATTGTTTGACCCTTTTGTCAGTTGTTCTACATAACCAGGGAACTCTCCATGTGCAATATTTAATATAATTTTTGTATAGATGTTCCCCCCCCCCCCCCCCCCAACAAGTCGGCTGTCTCCCACCGAGGCAGGGTGACCCAAAAAAGAAAGAAAATCCCCAAAAAGAAAATACTTTCATCATCATTCAACACTTTCACCACACTCACACATTATCACTGCTTTTGCAGAGGTGCTCAGAACACAACAGCTTAGAAGCATATACGTATAAAGATACACAACATATAGATGTATCTTGTGGAAATGAAGAATTTGAATTTGTAGGTGTGAAATAACTTTTTTCATTGTTTGGTATGTCTGTTTCAAATTTTTTTCTTTCATCCTTACTCAAACTAGATAATTACTGGCTTATTTGCAAGCTTTCTAGTTTTGGGAGTAGTTTGTTTTGCTGTAGAAAAAGGGAAGTTAAAGGTTATCCGCATACAGTTCCAGCCCTTCCAGTAAACTCAGAGTAATTGCATACAAGCACCTTTAGCCATGCCACAGAGTTGCTCATTTTACCATGCTGGTAACATTCTTCATTCATTAGAAAAGCAAATGCTTTATTTTCAGTATTATTCTTTTCCAAACTGTATTTTTTTTTTTTTAACACGTTGGCTGTTTTCCACTGAGGCAGAGTGACCTGAAAAGAAAGAAAAACTTTCATCATCATCATTCAACACTTTCACCATCACTCTCTGCAGAGGTGCTCAGATACGACAGCTTAGATGTCCCTCCAAATACCCAATATCCTAAACCCCTCCTTTAAAGTGCTGGCATTATACTTCTCATTTCTGGGACTCTAGTCTGGCTAACCGGTTTCCCTGAATCACTTCACAAAATATTACCCTGTTCACACTCCAACAGCTTGTCAAGTCCCAAAAGCCATTTGTCTCCATTCGCTCCTATCTAACACGCTCACACACGCTTGCTGGAAGTCCAAGCCCCTCGCCCACAAAACCTTCTTTACCCCCTCCGTCCAACCTTTTTGGGGACAACCCATATCCTGCCTTCCTTCTCAACAGATTTATACACTCTCCAAGTATTTATAGTGCAGAATATCAAAAGGTTTACTAATGAATAATTTAGACTTGTTGAATTTTCTGTATCACTGTCTGATATGGTCATTTTTTTTTTTTTTTTTTTGTGCTTTTTGTTCATAGGATGACACTGGACCTTCATCAGCAGAGAGCTTACATCTGTCATCAGACTTTTCACAGCTAGAGGATTTAGAAGGAAGATCACAAGCAGAATCTGCATCTACATCTAAGGCAAGTTTGTACTGTGTACTTGTGTTAATACTTGGCAAAAGGCAGATGGCATTTTTCATTTAGCTTTAATCCTGAGCTAGAACATAGTTGAGGACTATTCTCATACTCTAAGCTGATCCAGGCTTTTAAAATTTGTTGCATCTTGGACAATTTCTGTACAGTTCAAAATATTCCTGTTAGTGAGCTCTATTTGCTGTCTCTAGTTAATTTAAAGGAATAGGGGAAGGCATTACACAGCAGTAGCATTTGTACTATCTGCTGGTGCTAGTTCCCTCAAAATCTACACCAGGGGTTCCTAAATTTTTAAGCATGTACAAGAGGGCTCCACTTTACAACGATTCACTGATATGGACACTTCAAATCACGATAAAAGATTTGTTTGTGGTTCCCTGATTCTCTGTTAGTGTCCGTGCGTGCTAGTTTGTTTACATTGTCATTGAGCTCTGCGTCTATCAATTATGTTGGGAAATTTCCAAAATTTCAAGTATTTTTAAACTGTGTATTTAATTTTTTTTAACATGCTGGCCAGCCGTCTCCCACTGAGGCAGGGTGACCCCCTCCTCTTCCTTCCCCTCCAAAAAAAAAAAAAAAAACTTTCAACAAAGAAAATGATAGGATGGATAATGAGAACTTTCAAAACGAGAGATGCCAAGCCCATGATCCTTTTCAAATCACTTGTTCTCTCTAGGCTGGAATACTGCTGTACATTAACATCTCCATACAAAGCAGGTGAAATTGCAGATCTAGAGAGTGTACAGAGATCCTTTACTGCACGTATAAGTTCTGTCAAGCACCTTAACTACTGGGAACGCTTGGAAGCACTTGACTTGTACTCGTTGGAACGCAGGAGGGAGAGATATATCATAATCTACACTTGGAAAATCTTGGAAGGAATGGTCCCAAATCTGCACACAGAAATCACTCCCTACGAAAGTAAAAGACTGGGCAGGCGATGCAAAATGCCGCCAATAAAAAGTAGGGGCGCCATTGGTACACTAAGAGAAAATACCATAAGTGTCCGGGGCCCAAAACTGTTCAACAGCCTCCCATCAAGCATTAGGGGAATTGCCAATAAACCCCTGGCTGCCTTCAAGAGAGAGCTGGACAGATACCTAAAGTCAGTGCCGGATCAGCCGGGCTGTGGCTCGTACGTCGGACTGCGTGCGGCCAGCAGTAACAGCCTAGTTGATCAGGCCCTGATCCATCGGGAGGCCTGGTCATGGACCGGGCCGTGGGGGCGTTGATCCCCAGAATAACCTCCAGGTAACCATTCACACATCACTGTCTTTTCTGAGTCCATGTTAGAAATGATTAAACTGAAGAAGATATGTCAATGGCAGTACTACTCACCTCTCGCCCTATATTAAGACTACAAATATTTTAAAGTAATGAGTGTACTGTATGTGCATTGTACGTTTTTTTTTTTTATGCCTAGTTCTATTGCTGACTTAATACGTGATAGTGTAAACATGTTATCAGGCATTTATATTCATTTAAAAGTTAAAAAAAAAAAGGTGATTCACTTGCCTGGAACCTAACCCACTGTACAAGTGGGGCCCTCCAGTATCCACTTTCCAAACAATGATAGTCTATGTACCTCATTGCCTTCTTTTCACTTTAACCATATAATGGGTTTATAACCTAATGTATTATGCTTTTATTCTTTACTGGAGTGTGCTAATTTATATGCAATAAAAATGTTTGGTGTAAATATTATGCAGAAAATTCGGAGTGTGGAAATTAGGAGAAGGTGTGGAGTTAATAAAAGCATTAGTCAGAGGGCAGAAGAGGGGTTGTTGAGGTGGTTTGGTCATTTAGAGAGAATGGATCAAAGTAGAATGACATGGAAAGCATATAAATCTATAGGGGAAGGAAGGAGGGGTAGGGGTTGTCCTCGAAAGGGTTGGAAAGAGGGGGTAAATGAGGTTTTGTGGGCGAGGGGCTTGGATTTCCAGCAAGCGTGCATGAGCGTGTTAGATAGGAGTGAATGGAGACGAATGATACTTGGGACCTGACGATCTGTTGGAGTGTGAGCAGGGTAATATTTAGTGAAGGGATTCAGGGAAACCGGTTATTTTCATATAGTCGGACTTGAGTCCTGGAAATGGGAAGTACAATGCCTGCACTTTAAAGGAGGGGTTTGGGTTATTGGCAGTTTGGAGGGATATGTTGTGTATCTCTATACGTATATTCTTCTAAACTGTTGTATTCTGAGCACCTCTGCAAAAGCAGTGATAATGTGTGAGTGTGGTGAAAGTATTGAATGATGATGAATGTATTTTCTTTTTGGGGATTTTCTTTCTTTTTTGGGTCACCCTGCCTCGGTGGGAGACGGCCGACTTGTTGAAAAAAAAAAAAAATGTTCTCAGTTAAAGATGTGTTGAATATTTGAAATCTAATAAAATTGCTGTGCATTGAAAACGCATTTTTGCCATTACGTATTTTTCTCGCTTGCATCTGTGGGTAGATGGCTCACCCCATAGTTTGGGACCTACTGTTTTTCACTGTGCTTCTTGCCCCCTATGCACCACTGATTCAGATTTAACACAAAGCCAAAAGTAAACCAATACATATTGGTTTAAGTAGCACTTTGGTGTTATGGTGAAATCCACTGGAGATAAGGGCTCTGCCAGTTATTTTTAAATCTGATAAATGTTTAAATTGTCCCCAATATACTATAAAATGATATTCTGCCTGATCTACCACAAAATATTAATATTTTACTGTAATATGTAAAATGTTGCTGTTCTTAATATACATAAAACATTTATATTTTTCCTTGGTGGGAAATGGCCAATGTATTAATAAATAATAAAAAGATATAAAACGGTGAAATGCCGTCTTAATGTGTTTATGTACAGTAAGCGTCCAATAAAATGGTTCTCCATAAAGCAGATATTGGACAAAAATCTGGGTGGACAAAGCCTCAACATGTACATTTAATGGGGTGACTGATTAAAATGGTCATGAAGTGGACCAAATCCTTTATATCAAATGGCTGTCTGGTCCAGTCGTGTGTGTGATTAAATAGACCAACTCCGCATAATCAGAAGTTTTCACAGTTTGAAGTTCGTTCTGGATGTGTCCATTTTCATTGTTACCGGGCAGCAGGGCTAGTTATTACACATGTCAGTTTATCTGTTCATGTGCTCACACCATTGTTATTTCGTCTCCAGTTTTCCCCTGGATTTGCAGTTTTTAATATTTTTATTAAAGTACCGTGTACAATGTTATTAGCAATGGCCTCTAAAGCAACGGATGGTGCCAAGAAGTGCATGACCTTAACTGTTAAGTAGAAACTTTTTAGAAGGAAGCTAATGCTTCAGTGTCCTGGATGTGTGAGGAACATAGTGTAGCAAAACAGTGTCTGACATTTGTAGAAGCAGGAAAAAGCTTGCTGTCCATCCCTTTTAAAAATTTTGGTTATAACCATTTGAGTGTCCAGTATAGTGAGGCAAACTAGGTTGGTTCTTGTGTTTAATTTAATATTTTTCTTGACTGCTAATACATCAGTTACCAGTTACCCAAGTTTTTCTGTACATATAGTATTTTGAAATTATGTTAATGCATTTCATTTTGTTTCAGGGTGTAAGCAAGGTGTTCCTGGTCCCTAATCCTCGTTTGCAACGGGAAGATTCTGGTATCCCTCTTTCCCGCTCCTCTTCATCATCATCTCTCAATGATTACAAGGTGAAAAACTGTCACTGTGATTTTGATGGCCTATGTAGTTACTGAATTTCAGGTTTATTTGTGTATTTCTCTCCATCCTTCTCTTTTTCCTATCATCTTTATCCTCTGCCTCCCTCCTCTAAAGCCTTCATCTCCTTCCCTTATCCCGTACTTCTTTCTTCTCTCCTTCTTACTCTGCCTTCTACCTGCCTTTTTTTTTTTTCTTCCATCTCCTTAGCACCACTTAGCTTTGGAGAGAGTAACATTGCAAATTTTTTTAATTATTCATCAACTTTTTTCTTATTCTGTTGTGCAATACATATATTGATAAATTAATAACAGAAGAAGTTTATCTTCAGTAAGTTAATAATGTTAGTGTATATGGAATTTACAGTGATTCTTGGAATTATGTATTGTATTATGAAGCGAATGTAAAGGTAGATGGACAGAAAGAGAACACTAATGTGTGTATTTGTCTAGCCAAGTTTCTGAGGGTTGAGTTTCAGCTTTTGAACCCACTTATTTTTCCTTTGATTAGCTTGAATTTTCATGAAGTTGCTTTTGTATAAAGTAAATAGTTTGTACATTATTTTAATTAGCATTTCATACTGTTAGTATTTATCTTTAAATGCTGTAGGCACAATTTTATTATTAATATTCATTATTTTACCTCAGGAAAATAAAGAAAACAGCAAGTGGGCAGTGCGGCAAGGGAGTGCGAAAAACCGCGAATTGAAAGTGCCTGGCATATATAGTAGCTCCAGCTTAGAAAAGTTAGCAAACACAGAAGCCCAAGTACGATCTAGAAGAGTTTTGGGCTTGCAAAACTAATGACATATAACTTCATGGTTCTGCTGATTAAGAAATCTTGAGAATAATATGCAACTGGATTAATTAGAATGTGAGGCAAGTGTGGCTGGTCTTTATTGTTATACATTGTACTTGTTTACATGTAGTATATGTAAATGGACAGCGTGTCACTCTTGAGAGGCTGGTTCTGTACAGTTATGTATGAAAATAATAGCCTTAGTAGTTCAGAATTTAAACCTACTGTGCTTCAACCATGGTAGTGTATGGCATTTTTAATATGTTGTGATTTTATTTCATAAAACATATTAATTTTGTGATCCAGTTGTTTTTTCTGCATTACAGCAAAAGTTAATATACATTTTATGTTTTTACAAATAATCAGTTTGAATATACCAAGTTGGGAAGTTCAACTTAAGACAATAAACATTATGTAATTGCAACTTGGAAACTGTATGTCAGAGCTTTTAGCATGTTATTGGCTTTCAGCTCTGATCTTGTATTGGTTTGGTAGAAGGTGAAAACAATAATAATTATGATATTTGCTGATAATAAAAATGATAAAATATTTTTTTCTTATTGGGAGAAGCACTTAACTAAATTTAATGCTAGGGATTTGCAGGTCTTTGAACCTTTTTAATTCATGAGGCAATTATCTGTGTACTGTATATAAATATTTTATTACCCTAGCTATTTTTCTTATTTATTTAACAGATGGATAAATGCATAATTGTAAATAAGATGGAATAGTTTAAGCCTTGGTGCTAAAAGCTTCTATTCTTTTTACTCAACATTAAGGATTTGTTAGAAATTTTCCAAAATAGTAAAAATGCAATGAATTTTTGCTCTTTCCATAATACAGTGTGATATGTTTTGTATGCATTATCCTGTATGAGTTTGAGGGGGAGGATGTCTTCCCTCGACTTTTGACCCATTAATGGGTATGAAAGTTCACAATATTGTTAGTGAAGAAATTTGTGTACAAAATTGTGGGGTCTTAATTCAGTGACCCCTCTGACACCCTACAACTGTTGCCACTAGGTTATGATTAAAAAAAAAAAAAAAAAGCTTTCCAACATAAGTCTTGTGATGAATGTTGTCTTAGGAAAATACCAGCTTGTACAATAATTTGCACCTGGTTTCCTAGTGGTAATAGTGGTGGATTGAGGTGTTGCAGCATTAGTTTTAAGTGCTTCGTGCTCAAATTTATTTCCCCATAAAATCTCACTTCATGTATAATCAAACCTTAGAATTAACAGGAAAAAATCAAGCAGATATGTTTTCCATACATTCATAACTTAATAATTTGCATTTCATGACCAAATTCTACCAAAGAGGAAAGTGCTGCATTTACATTAAACAGTAAAGAATGTTTTTGGTTAAATACCATATGTTATTAAAAGATAAATCACATTTTGTGACAGCTAGTTGACCCTTTTGGGTTTAGTGCTTAATTTGGTTATTTTATTATAACAGCTCTTGTCAGCTTCTTTATTATGTAGATTTATTAGTGCTCCTAGATAGGTTTTTATATAGATGCATGATATTGAGCTGCAGACCATCAAAGATACATAACATCAATTTCAGCTAATTCCATAGCACAAGATGGCTGACTCTTGATGATTCTCTATATTTCCTAAACAAATTTTATAAAACAAGTAGAAAATAATGCACACTAGTTGTGACCCATATAAGTATAAGGACTTGTTTTTTTCTCTCATAAATGCACCAATTGATAATATACATAAGGAAATGTATTAGATACAGCAACAGTGAAAGGGGGAAAAAAGTGGTAGGAAAAAGTTTGGTGGTTAGTTACATGTCTACTAAGGAGTGGTGGATGACAGCTCCTCAGTTATAACACTCAAACATTGGCCTTCTGTATTTATCACAAGCGAAGTGCAGAATGAAGATAAGAGGTTCTGTTCTCAAGAAGCTACCTTACCTTTCAAGAGTTTCACTACTCTTGGAGCTGGACAGTTTCCTTCTACAGGTCCTGAATTGTGATAGCTATAAGGACCTGTGGGCTGATAGCACAAATGGCCCAGTTGACAGTTGCCAGTGGTATTCTAGCCTCAGGCTGGGTTAGGAGGGGGGGGGGGGGGTTAGAGCCCTGAAAACTGGTTACAGGCTGGAGTGATGTGTATTTATGGTGATGAGTGTAGGTGGTGTCCATATCCCTCACTCGTTTGGGATCTGACTGGTTTCTGCGAAATTGAGGGAGCCTTGCAGATATTACTCCAAACATTGTAATTTTCTGTAAAACTCATATGATAAATGCATTTGATTGTAGGTTTAGTGCTTCTCTTTTATTATAATAATAATAATTGCATTTGAGGCTAATGATTAAATGTGTTTAATAGGCAGTGGAACGTTACTTATACTGCTTGTCTTGGTGCAGACACACTGCCATTTTCGGCTTCCCATCCCTTATTTTCCTAGCTTATAAACTTCATTTATCTTTGTTCTTTAGTGGGCTAATGTAGGTATAGTTTCTACTGAATTTCTAAAAGTTGTTCTAAAAAAAGGTGGGCTTTTATTTGTGAGTAACCCTTGTGGGTGTAGTGCTTAAATTTTTTTCTCATTTCATGCATTTGTATTAAAAAGTGTCTAGAAGCAACATTGTTTGCAGTGTTCAGTGTAAAAGGAAGCCCACTAGTCTTTTTCAAAACTAAAGCCAAAACCAGCACCACAAATATCACCTGGTATAAGTAAAATTATTTAATATTTTTTTGAAAATACAGTGGACCCCCGGTTAATGATATTTTTTCACTCCAGAAGTATGTTCAGGTGCCAGTACTGACCGAATTTGTTCCCATAAGAAATATTGTGAAGTACATTAGTCTATTTCAGACCCCGAAACATACACGTACAAATGCACTTACATAAATACACTTACATAATTGGTCACATTTGGAGGTAATCGTTATGCGGGGGTCCACTGTATACTGTATCTAATTAAATGCATAAAGATTCAGTAATGGTCATATGGTGTATGTGTAATGGGTCTGGTCCTTATTTGCCTTATGATGTTTTGGGAGAGGTGATCAGATTCATTTTTAATTTTTGGATGAAATATACTGATGTAGCATATAAAAATATAGTTGGGTGTTCTGTCAAACTAACTAGGTGGGTTAAAAGTGGGTCCCATTCTCAAATTTTTTTTTTTTTAGTGCTGCTACTCAGCCATAGCATGAAGGATATTTTTTGTTTTACTGTACAGCACAACTTAAACACGCTAGTTTTTTGTATTGTGTAATTTGTAAGTCTGTTCATAGTAATATTGCTTATTTTGCCATAGTTAATCTTATAGTTCCTTCATGTAGTTTTGTGATTGAATGTTTTTTGTATGTCTGAAATGAACTCAGGACTGTGTACGTGCAAGGTTCAAATCTCTTACAATGTGTAATATTAGGTTTATTTTTAAAATATGCAGTTCTGTATCAAAATCCTCTGTGTACAGTTTTCAAGGTCCCTTTATACGAGTTAAAAGTATTATATCCTAGTACTAGGTATATGAAAATGTATATACAGTAAATTTTAAGCAAATGGAATATCTTTAATTTACCCTCACACGTGTGAATTGAGAAAAGTATTTTTTATTTATTTATTAACACACTGGCCAATTCCCACCAAGGCAGGGTGGCCCAAAAAAGAAAAACTTTCACCATCATTCACTCCATCACTGTCTTGCCAGAAGGGTGCTTTACACTACAGTTTTTAAACTGCAACATTAACACCCCTCCTTCAGAGTGCAGGCACTGTACTTCCCATTTCCAAGACTCAAGTCTGGCCTGCCGGTTTCCCTGAATCCCTTCATAAATGTTACTTTGCTCACACTCCAACAGCACGTCAAGTAGTAAAAACCATTTGTCTCCATTCACTCCTATCAAACACGCTCACGCATGCCCGCTGGAAGTCCAAGCCCCTCGCACACAAAACCTCCTTTACCCACTCCCTCCAACCTCCATCATTTTCTCCTTCAATGTTGATTTTCTTTGATTTCTTAGAAAAATCTGGCTTGCAGTTACCCTCATGCAAAGGCCTTCTTTACTGTTTAGTTCTGTATACTCGGTTTGGGTTTAGCAGCTTTCTATGAATATAATTGTCATCTACCATCCCAAAGGCTACCCACACTAGCCATCTGCAAACATTATTACATATACTTTTTTTTTTAATTGGGGTGGGGAAAGTCCTAAATCCACAGGGGGATAGTACCCTGAAGGGAGGTTCCTTGATGCTGGTGAGGGGCTCTTGATCTAAGGAGTTTGACCTGTGCTCTAAGTCCTTGAGTATGCTTTCCATCCCCCCTTCCCTTTGGTGCTATATGGCCCTTATGGGTTTAGCACCACCATGAATGTAATAGGTTATATAGAGCCTTCAAGGTTCACTTCAAGGAAAGGCATTGAGGCACCTGCAAGTCACACTATGATTAATGTTGACAAGTATATATGAACTGTGCATGTATTTAGATAAGTTTAATTGATCAGGGACAAAACCCCCGATGAGCAAGATGCATCCTCAATATCTTTCTTAAATCAAGGTATCTTTGAGGTGGCTGTGGCATCCAAAGGTTGCAGCCTATCATGGGGGGTAGGTGGCCTTGATGTAGCTAGAAAACCCTTGATTCAAGGTGCTGTAGGCACCCTTTCCTTTCTTAGATCAACCTGATTTCTTACCATTCCTCAGGAGCTGCATGATACCTATGGGTATGGTACTTTTCCATGAATATCCTGAAGACTGCATAGCAATATCATATGTTGTACAGCAAAGTGTTGTCCCGAGTATAGCACCAGATATCACATCAGCCAAATAACCTCTGCAGCCAATGCTTGTCTGGCAAATCCAAAAGTAGCCTCCAGGAACCTCTACAGTCATCTGGGTCCTTTATACATGTGGTAAGTCCATCTCTGAGTAAGCAACACAAGTATGAAACCCACACTTGAAAAAGCATGTTTGTACAGAAGTATAACCCTCAAGGAAGGTTCCTTGATGTTGGTGAGGGGCTCTTGATTTAGGGAATTGGATCTGTGCTCCAGTTCCCCGAATTAAGCCTGAATGCCTTCCACATCTCCCCCTAGGCGCTGTATAATCCTCCGGGTTTAGCGCTTCCACCTTGATTATAATAATAATAATGTGCAGAAGTATGCAACAAGGCTTGTTCTTGAGCTATGAGGAGAGGCTAATGGACATGTACCTAAAGACATTAAAGAACAGAAGAACTAGGGATGACATAACATTCAAAATGCAGGCGAGCTGACAAAGCAGACAGAGATAAGCTGTTAGAGAGGTGAATAGTGGAAACTCTGGGACACCGTTGGAAGTTAAAGGCACAGATGAGCCACAGGGATGTTAGGAAGTATTTCTGCAGTCTCAAAGAGTGGTTGGAAAATGGAATGATCTTGGTGAGGAAGTGGAGGCAGGCTCTATATATAATTTTCCACCGAAGAGTGGAAGGCTTAAGAGGCCTGCAATCACAAATAGGTGTACACACATATGTATACTTAACAATTCGCAAGCAGGTGAAATTATTTACAGACATTATCTCTACGTCCACAGCAGGACTCAAACCTGCAAACTCTGTATCAGAGTATGTGGTGCTTTACCACGGAGCCAGGGTCTGGTTCCGTGGTAAAGCACTGTGTACTCTAATCCAGAGTTTGCAGGTTCGAGTCCTGCTGTGGATGCAGAGATAATGTTTATGTATATATAAATTTGTGTCCTGGTAAGTCCACATTATACAAACTAATACATAACAAATGGTGCTATGCAGGACTATTATTATAATCTTTACCCTTATGGGTTTAATGCTTAGTTTTGATTATAATAATCCAAGGGAGTGAAGCATAACAGCTTTAAGTGCCTCCCATACGTGAGGAGTGAGCTGCCCAAAGGATTTTTTATGGCACTACTCAGGACTACCCTGGTGGGTTTAGCACTTAGATTTGATTATAATGCTCTGCACTTGTTTTTCACTCTTCCAACTTGGCCATTGTTCAAAATTTACCTCAGTGCTGTATGACCCTTGTGGGTTTAGCACTTAGTTATGATTATATAATATAAAAAAGATTTACCTGGCATGGTACCCCTTTTATTCATTACTATCCTCTATTAAGGATATTGGATAGCTTTAAAAATAAGCTAGACAGATTTACGAGTCGAAGGATTTGACCAGCATGGGCCAGTAAACCTACTTCAGTGAACAAGACTTACGTGTAACACCTAGGTATATTTGTTGAGAAACTTTTCACCTGCACAGCAGGTTCCATCAGTGTAACAGAGGTGTGAGGATGGATCTTCTTTACTGAAACTAAAGTTGAGGCGCAGCACTTCAAGACATGAATACATGTGGGTGGGGCCCCTCTAGTGGGAGTAGGTCATACCCACAAGGTGGGCCAGAGATTTAGCAATAGAGTTATATTTTGCAATATTTTTTATTTAGGCTTTGTTTCACAAATAAATAAAATAAAAAATATTGAGTGATAATATAAGTAAAGACCAAAAGTCACTTAGAAACTAAAAAAAAAAAAAATTAATTCTGGTATATACACTAGTAGTATCTATGAATATTCGCAGTGCTGTATGACTTAAGGGTTTAACATTTTATTATGATTGTAATAATTGCTGCATGACCCTTGTCGTTATAGCGCTTTATTTGATTATAATAACTGAATATTCACTCGGAGCCTCAGCTTCCGTCAGAATTTATTAATAAACTGCTATCGCTATATTGATAAGGAAGCGCTAAACCCTTAGTGGTCATAAAGTGCCTGTGCTGGTGTCAGTTGCTGGTGTCAGGAACTCGTGTCAAACTGGCGTAGGTCGCTGGTGTCATTGGTTTCAATCGCTGGTGTCAGTCACTGGTGTCAGTCATTGGTGTCAATAGTTGGTGTCAGTCACTGGCGTTAGCCACTGGTATCGGTCACTGGTGTCAGTCACTGGCGTTAGCCACTGGTATCGGTCACTGGTGTGTCACTGAGTGGTGATGTTCTGAAGACAATTTCCAGGCAAAGTTATATATACATGTACAATGAAAGACATATACCTTTAAAATATATACACACCGAAAGTTTAGTTTAATCCATATTAATAAGATATAAAAAGTATTTTTGACTGGTGGTGAATAATATACATTGTCTTAATAACCTGGTATAGTTAATAGGTTCTGAACCCAATTAACCAACCAGCATGTAACAGTAGTTATTGTGTGGGTGGTGGTGTAGCCTCGTGGGTGTGTTGTAGGGTGTTCCTCTGCTTATACCCACCCATTTGGGTGTGAGTGTGGTGGTGTGTGAGCATGGTAGTGCCATGGACACGTCACCGTGGTTTTTTGGGATAAAATTGGCTACAGGTGAGGAGGTAAGTGTGTTGTGAGGAATATTTTGCAGCGAGGCTGGACACCATGAGCGCTGTATAGCCCTTGTGGTTTAGCGCTTCTTTTTGATTATAATAATAATAATGGACACCATGAGGAGGAACTGGTAGGTGCTGTCCACGTCAAGTTAATATATTTATTATGTAGTCCATGCTTGTGGGCGGTAGTCAAAATATTACAGACACATGATGGGCCCAGGGACGGGGCAGCAAAGTTTTGATAGCTGAATAAATTACGGTGGTAATGAACTATTTACATGTTTATATCTAGTTACAATAGTAATGAGTTATTAAGTCACTGCTTAAAAGGAAAGTTGACGGCGGTGTTGTTTGTGAAGATCTGTGAATTATTATCCTCTCACGGAAGGTTCCTTGATGTTGGTGAGGGGCTCTTGATTTAGGGAATTTGATCTGTGCTCCAGTTCCCCGAATTAAGCCTGAATGCCTTCCACATCCCCCCAGGCACTGTATAATCCTACGGGTTTAGCGCTTCCCCTTATAATAATAATGTAGATTATTATAATCAAGGGGAAGCGCTAAACCCGGAGGATTATACAGCGCCTGTGGGAGGGGGGATAGAAGGTATTCAGGTTTAATTCAGGGAATTGGAGCACAGATCCAGTTCCCTAGATCAAGAGCCCCTCACCAACATGAAGATCTGTAGAACCTTGACGGTAAAGATGTAGATATATGGTTCACAGAACTGACAAGTTGACAAATTAGACGTGTACAACACTTGGGTATATTTATTGTGGAAATATTTCGCCACACACTGGCTTTATCGGTCCAGTAAAAAAGAATAATGATCAGAAGGAGATTGAGGTAATCAGTTCCTCAGGATGTTGTGGTGTCTGTTGAGGATGTTGTGGTGTCTGTTGAGGATGTTGTGGTGTCTGTTGAGGATGTGGTGGTGTCTGTTGAGGATGTGGTGGTGTCTGTTGAGGATGTGGTGGTGTCTGTTGAGGATGTGTGGTGTCTGTTGAGGATGTTGTGGTGTCTGTTGAGGATGTTGTGGTGTCTGTTGAGGATGTTGTGGTGTCTGTTGAGGATGTGGTGGTGTCTGTTGAGGATGTTGTGGTGTCTGTTGAGGATGTTGTGGTGTCTGTTGAGGATGTTGTGGTGTCTGTTGAGGATGTTGTGGTGTCTGTTGAGGATGTGGTGGTGTCTGTTGAGGATGTGG